CGACCACCTCCACTGTGAGGTCCACCACCAGTTCCACCACCACCTCCACCACCTCCACCACCATCTTCATCGCCTCCACCACCATCCCCACCACTTCCACCTCCATCCCCGGTGCCTCCACCATGACGTCCACCACCAGTTCCACCACCACGACCACCTCCACCATGACGTCCACCATCACGACCACCTCCACCTTGACGTCCACCACCAGTTCCACCACCACAACCACCTCCACCATGACGTCCACCACCACAACCATCTCTCCCACGACATCCACCACCAGTTCCACCACCACGACCACCTCCACCTTGATGTCCACCACCAGTTCCACCATCATGACCACCTCCACCTTGACGTTCACCACCAGTTCCACCACCACGACCGTCTCCACCATGACGTCCACCACCACAACCATCTCTACCACGACATCCACCACCAGTTCCACCACCACGACCACCTCCGCCATGACGTCCACCACCAGTTCCACCACCACAACTACTTCTACCATGGCATCCACCACCATGACCACCTCCACCATGACGTCCACCACCACAACCATCTCTACCACGACATCCACCACCAGTTCCACCACCACAACCATCTCTACCATGACATCCACCACCAGTTCCACCACCACGACCACCTCTACCTTGACGTCCACCACCAGTTCCACCACCACCACCGACTCCACCATGACGTCCACCACCACAACCACCTCCACCGCGACCACCACCATCTCCCCCTCCGTCCCCGCTGCCCCCGCTGCAGGTGTAGTTGTAGAGATAGACCACCTGGACGGGGCCGTTCTCCAACCAGGTGGGCAACCAGGCGTTGTCGCAGGCGCAGCTGAGGGGACACTTCCTCAGGTCCAGGTAGCGCAGGGCCGGTAGCCCCCCGGTAGCCACCCCCTTGTCCAACCCCCTCAGCTGGTTGCGGGCCAACAGGAGCATCTCCAAACGGCTGAGGTTGCCGAAAACTTGGGGTCCCAGGCTCCTCAACCCCATGTTCTCCAGGTCCAGGCTGCGCAGGGCGCTCAAGTTCTTGAAGACCCCGGCCGGGAGGTCGCCCCCTCCCCCGCCGCTGTCGGCCAACGTCAGGAATTCCAACTGGCCCAAGTCATCGAAAGCGTCGGCCGCGATGGCCAAGAGCCCGTTTTGGGCCAAGGAGAGGGAGCGGAGGGAGGTGAGACCCTGGAAGAGGCGTTGGGGGACGATGTGCAACCCGAAGGGCCGTTGACCTTGGAGCTTCAGTAGCCGCAGTCGCCCCAGGGCCTGGAAGGGGGGGCGCTGGCCCAGGCGCTGGCTCCGGTAGCGCAGAGCGTTGCCCCCCAAGTCCAAAACCTCCAAGGAGACCCCCAAGGGCTGGAAGGTCTCGGCGTTGACCTCCAACAACCGGTTCCTGTCCAGGTAGAGCCGCCGTAACCCCCCCAACCCCCCCAAGGCCTTCCCCCCCAAATGCCGCAGGTTGTTGCCCCCCAAATCCAAGGTCTGGAGGTGGGGGAGCCCCCCCAGGACCCCCGGGAAGAGGACGGAGAGACGGTTGTTGCGGAGGTTGAGGGTCTCGAGGCGCCGCAACGGGGAGAAGGCGCCGGGGGGCAGATCGGTCAGGAGGTTGTTGTCCAACCGTAATTCCAGTAGCCACCGTAGCCCCCGCAGCCCCCGGGGGTCCAGCCGAGCCAAACTGTTGAGGTCGAGGCGCAGGAGGCGCAGGCGGGGGGTCTCGGCGAAAGCCCCCGGCCCCAACCCCCCGATGCGG